CAATCCACTCACCTCAGCCTCCCAAAGGCGCGGGATTACAGGCTGAGCCACTGAGCCACTTTTTATAGGGACAGGATCTTGCTCTATGCCCAGGCTGGTCTTGAACTCCTGGCCTCAAACGAGCCTCCCACCTTGGCCTCCCAAAGCACTGGGATTACAGACATGAGCCACCACACCCAGCTCCTGCATTCTTCTGATGAGGAACGCGAGGCTGAGAGAGATAGAGGCACTATCAGTTTCCTTGCTGGTTGGTGGTGAACTTTGGCCAGCAGCATTACCAACAGAGCGGATGGCGGTGCCCACCAGCCTCCATCCTGGAGTCTCTGTGGTGTGCCAGCTTGTGAATCTTTTATTCATACATGTTAAGCACCGATAGCCAATTGCTCACTGTAAGATACTCGCTATAAGTTAGTTATCCACAAGGATGAGGTCTGTCTGTTTCAAAAAGGAAAAGGCAATGATTTCAGGTTTGAAAGTGATGCTGGGGCCCAGAAGAAATAAATCTTCTTCACGAGGCGTGGGGGATGGGGCCAGATTCTGGGGGAGGAAGACCACGGACACATTAGAGAAGGGACTATGATGGTGGACAGAGGAGGCTGACTCTGGGGACGTTAGGAGGAGAGGAGGACTGGGGCCGGTTGTCAGAAGTCCTGGATCCAAGGTCACTGAGGCCATGCCTTCCCTGGGCACTGCTACACTCAGTATCAGGTGTGTTATTTGATCCCTGCGAAGATGCTGAAGAAAGCTAGCTTTTCTTATACCCAAAACCTGACCCTAAGGGCGAGTAGACAAACACAAGTTTCCCAACTCAATTGAGCACCCCAAAAGAACCCGAAACCCGTGGTTGGTGTCAGGGACGGGAAGCGGTCTCTAGTACTGTGGAATCCAAACATAAAAAACTTCAGCTATGGCCTCTTTCTTGCATCTTTGGAACTCTTTGATGGACTTTTTAATTTGTTTTCACAAACATTTATGGAGTCCTTACTGTGTGTCAGTCACCCGGCCAGATTCTACTACTTTGAAAAGCCAATTTCTGGGCATTTCCTGGAGATACACAAAGGAATGATACAATTTCCCTCCTAAGGAGCTAACTGCGTGGGTATGGGGGTGAAATGGGGGAAAGGTGAAAGAACTCACCTGAGGTAGATTTGGTGAATACTGTGGTCCAGGCTCCTCTGTCTTCGTTTTTCTTGAGCTCTTTCCAAATCAGTCCTTCTGTTTCCATCTCTGGGCTCCTAGCCCCAGTAATGGATGGTGAGGCCTTCTCTGGAAACAAGAGGGACGATCTGAAGAGTTTGTTTGCCCCTGATCGTTGAGAGCCCCATGAGGGTGCCTGAACCCACACTCAGGCCTGCTTCAGAGTGATGTGGGGAACGAGTGGCTTGGTTAGGAGGAGATGCTTTGGGTAATCTTGATCAGTGGAGTGGCTCAGGTAAAGGAGACCCCTCCCAGGGACGTGGCACCAACACCCACCTGCCCACAGAGGGTTGCTCAGCTCCACCCATGCCCATTCAGAGTACAGCTCAACCCAGCAGACTGCTCTGACCTCAGCCTCAGTCTCCCTGCCACTGCCATCTTGTGTCCTCTGCCCTGCAGCCAGGAGAGCAGTCCTGAGGCCCTGGGAACTTTGATGCAGCTGCCTTTCTTCTGCCAAGGCTGTGTTGCAAATCACCTGCCTCTCCTTCCTCTCTTCCCTTCTCCCACGCCTCTTTTTAGTTTACTCACTACAATTCCCAGTACACGATTGTGATAAAGACATCAGTCTCCTTGGCTCCTTTTCCAAGTGAGAGCAAAAATGAAGTGCAACATACAGTTGGCTTCCCCCTTTTTTCAGAGCTACCAGGCAAAGGAGAAAGATTTTCTTTTCTCTTTTTCTTTTTCTTTTTTTTTTTGAGTTGAAGTCTTACTCTGTCACCGAGGCTGGAGTGCAGTGGCACATTCACAGCCACCCCAGCATCGACCTGCTAGGCTCTGGCGATCCTTCCACCTCAGCCTTCCAGGTAGCCACAGGTGCACGCTACCACACTGGGCTAATTTTTAATTTTACTTATTGTAGAGATGAGGTCTCACCAAGTGGTCCAGGCTGGTCTCGAACCCGTGGACTCAGAGATCCATCGCCTCGGATGCCCAAAGTGCTAGGATTACAGGCTGAGCTATCGAGCCTGGCTGAGAAAGATTTTCAAAACTGCTTTTTCCCACTACAGTATTTGTATGTGCTTATAGTTAAATACTCAGAAGATATAGTAGGGAAAGAAAGTCTTCCCATCCATGTTCCTCTTCTCCCCCCCCCCCCCCGCCCTGCTGTCCAAGCTACCTATAAATGCTGTGTGCGAGGGAGGGTGTTCTCCCTTTTTTTTTTTTTTTTTTTGAGTTGGGCTCTCACTCCGTTGCCCAGGCTTGAGTGCATTGGCACCGTAATGGCTTACCACAACGTCAACCCTCTGGGCTTAGGCAATCCTATGGCTTCAGCCTCCCAAGTAGCTGGGACATGCCACTACACCTGGCTTTTTTTGTTTGTTTCTAATTTTCTGTAGAGATGAAGCCTTACTGTGCTGCCCAGGCTGGTCTTGAACTCCTAGACTCAAGCCATCCTCTCTCCTCAACCTCCCAAAGTGCTAGGATTACAGGCATTAGCCATCATGCCCAGCCTTCCAGACCTTTCTAATGCATGCTGTATTTGTATGGTCTTCCTAACATGGGCTTATATTTCTGCCAGAGTCCATGGGACCTCATGAATGAAGAGACTGCCTTGTTTCCAAGGACAGAACAGAAAGCTCTTTGCTGGATCCGGTTCTCTGTTCTGCTCACTGTAGTTGTTTCTCTAAACTTCATTTTTCTAGAGCTACTTGTGGATATATGAAATAGAATGACCACAGTCTTGTAGGGTGACAACTGTGTGACTATATTATTTATGTGACTTGGGCAACCAGGGAAGCATGGAGTTATATATAATAAATAGGACACTGAAGGGAGAGTTAGAACTTGCAAAATCCCATCACAATTCTGCTTTAACTAACTGGTTGGGTTGGCCTTGTGTGGGCCAAATAACGTCTTGACTTCACCATCAGCACCTGGAAAACAGGGTGGACACGTTGCCTAAATTCCAGATCTTTGTCAGGTTAGCATTCTATTTATTCTGTTTTATGTTAAAAAATATTTATCTTTATAGGAATTATTTCTAAAATGTCTGTGAATATATTTGTAAGAAGGGGGAGAATAGGGAGGTTCCCTTTCTTTCTTCAATGTCCAGTCATTGAGCTGTGTCTTTCATGCCGGATGTAAGCTGCAGAAATGGCTGGAATGGAGTTGATGGAAGGCTGGTTAAGTGGAGATATGAGGGGAACCCAAAAAACCCAGAATTTATTTATTGGAAATCATGTATTTATTCTCACATTTACACGTCAGTCATCCTCAAAGCACTCTCCATCTGATGCAATACACCTGTTGAGGTGCTTTTTCCACTGCTCAAAACAGTTTTTGAACTCATCCACTTGGATGCCTTTTAGGGCTTCTGCCATTTTTTGTTGTACCTCTTCCACATTGGCAAAACATTTCCCACTGAGAACTTTTTTCATTGGGGAAATAAAAAACCGAACAAACACCTTGCTCAAGGTGAGATTAGGTGAATAGGGAAGATGGCACAGGGATCATGGTGATTTTGGTCAAAAATGACTGAACACTCAGTGTGGTATGGGCAGGTGTGCTCGTAAATCACCCATCACGAAATGGGCAAACATGTTAAAAGGTTCTCAAAAAAAAATTAACTGAGGCCAAACACTGCCTCTCACAACAACGCTTGCTTTTACACTGATGCCAATGGGTTCCTAGAACTCTTATCTAGTGGGGGAAGCCTGTACTACCAAGAGACTACCCTCCAAAGGATAATTCCGGGTTTTGGGGAGTCCCCCCTCATGTATATGGAGCAAGGAGGCTGAGGGGCCCTGAGGCCAGAGCCCAGCCCCAGGTGCTCATGGCCCTTTCTTCTAGGTATTTGCTGCGAGAGACAGTCCTCCCATGATCATTCGTTCTTTCTCTTTCAGGCAGAGCATCTCACCAGCTGCTACTGGGGTGGAAGCAGCAACGCACTGGACCGGCACGACCCCAGCCTGCCCTACCTCGAGCAGTATCGCATTGACTTTGAGCAGTTCAAGGGCATGTTCGCTCTGCTCTTTCCCTGGGCGTGTGGAACTCACTCTGACATTCTGGCCTCTCGCTTGTTCCAGTTATTAGATGAAAATGGAGACTCTCTGATTAACTTCCGGGAGTTTGTCTCTGGGCTAAGTAAGGATGTGGTATTATTGCATGAGTCGGGACAGGACGATGGGGTGGTGACCCTGGGGTTCTGCGGTGCCATCCTCAGGGCCACAGCCCTGTGCTGCTTCCCACAGCCCTAGGGGGCACAGAAGCACTTAGGAAGGTTTGCAAACTGATTATAAAACTTGATTCTAGTTAATGAATATATTATATGGATAAAGCCTTGGTTTCTACATCAGACAGGCCTTGTCACTGGTTAAAAATACATTATTAGAGAATTCACAAGACAGTAAAATGCCAGCATCAACATTGAAACCACAGACTATGATGGCTTTACAAGAGCAAAAGAAATAAAAGAAATATCTGGGTGGAGGATTGCCTTTCTTTGACCAAAGAAAATTATATATATTGTATAATTCAATATATAATTTTATTGTTTATAATTTCATAGCGTTTCATAATTTCTTTGAGGCAGGGTCTCACTCTGTTACCCAGGCTGGAGTGCAGTGGTACAATCACAGTTCACCATAACCTCAGCCTCCTGTGCTCAGGTCATCTTTCTACCTCAGCCTCCCAAATAACTGGGACTGTAGGTGCATGCCATCCCCTCTGGGTAATTTTTTCATTTTTTTTGTGGAGACAAAGTCTCTCTATATTGCCCAGGCTGGTCTCAAATTCTTGGACTCAGGCTATCCTCCTGCCTCAGCCTCCCAAAGTGTTGGGATTCCATGCATGAGCCTGACCCTCATACTGTTTTTAATAAAACACTGAAAAACCACAGCAGCTCTGCAGAGTAAATAGAAGCCTTTTCTCTCCTGTTTGTAGGGCGGAAAAACTGCCTGGCAGGGGCACACTCACCCCTAGTCCAGCAGCCAGGGGGCAGCTGCCTGGCAGCTCCCTGTCTGCCTTGCTTCCTGCCTCATCAGGTGGGCCAAGCTCTACTACGATGTGGCTTTTATGTCCAGTTATCAACTGTCTCGTTCTGTTGATAACTGGACATAAAAGCCACATCGTAGTAGAGCTTGGCCCTCCTGATGTGAGGCTGTGGATGTAGCAGGCATTGTACCAGGATGAGGGAAGAAGGAACTTCTCTTTTTTTAATTCGAATGGTGCCACTCGGTGACCTGAGGGCATATACTTAAAATGTCCCCAAGGAAAGATACAGCATCAGGCCTAGAGCCAACAATATTTCCCAAGAACATGCTTCATCTGTAAGAGTGATACCTGTAGGCCATAAAGGCCAGAGGAACCTGATGGTTTTTTAAAAAGGGAAGAGATGTAGGTGAGATCTTCTTAGGTCAGAACAAAAATTGTCTAAAGCACTCACCTGTATGCTTAAAAGGGTGTGGGAAGAACAGGATTTCAGTGAGTGCGGGTCCTGCTCTGACACATTAACACTTGAGCTGTATAACTGATTCTAAACAATAGCTCTTTGGAGTAATTACTCCCAGCTCTTTGGAGTAATAATAATAAGTAACGTTCATACAGCATTTATTCTGTGCCAGGCACCGCCCTAATGGGCTTTATGTTTACAATTTCTGTGAACTTAATTTGCCTAAGGACACAAAAAGTTTGTGTTTGAACCCAGGTACCCTGGAGGCACAGTTTGTGCTGCTGCTGTTGTTGTTGTTGTTGTTACTATTATTATTATTATTACTATTTTGAGTTGGAATCTCACTCTACCACCCAGGTAGACTCACTGCACAACTCACTGCAGCCTCAACCTCCTTGGACTCTAGCAATCCTTCTCCCCAGCCTCCCAAGTAGCTGAGACTACAGGTGCGCACCACCATGCCCGGCTAATATTTTTCTATTTTTTGTAGATATGAGGTCTGGCTATGTTGCCCAGGTTGGTCTCAAACTCCTGGGTTCAAATGATTCTCCCACCTCGGCCTCCCAAAGCGCTGGGATTACAGGTGTGAGCCACCGTGCCTGGCCTGTGCTGTTACAGTTATGCTTCATGAATCTACCTGCTTACTGCTATTGTCTCCATTTTTAGATAAAGAAATAGAAGCTCAGAGAAGTTAAGTAACTTGCTGGAATATTCATCTTTAGCCAATCAATAAATAACTGTCAGGGAACTGGACTGAGAGGCACAGTTAGTGCTGGACCCAGGATTCAAGTGAGGGCTGTCTGCTTAGAAATTTTGTCCTTGTCTCACTTCTCTATGCTGAGGATAGAAAATGGGCATTTCTTTAGGAGGAGAGGAGTAGCATTAATTTTTAATTATATAAGCAATGCATAAGTACATTCTGCTTTTTTAAAAAGTGAAGCAAAACACACAATATTGAAGACCCCTTTGACCCTATGCTAATCTTTTCTGTTTTCAAGGTAATCACTAATTATCATATTGGGTCTATCAAAAAGGAGGTTTAAAAAAATTATCTTTGGACAGGAATAAGGAGGAGGAAAAAGAAATGGATTCCACACACAGAATATGACAGAAATATATACAAATATTTTATTTTCTTAAATCCAGTCAACTCCAGTAAGGAGCATACTCATCAAAATCTTAAGAAAGGAAAGAGAGGCTTGAAGTCTAGGATAGAGAAAACATTGGAAAAGGGTTTTTAGGCTTTCAAAAATAGAGTTGAGTCACTAGGCAAAGTGAACAACAGCATAGATCACTGAGAGAACTCTCAAATGCAATTGCAGAGCTGTTGTCAGTTGTGTTGGTCAATTAGAGGCAGGTAGGACAGAGATAAGAAATTCTGAGTGTAAAGAAACTCCAGAATGAATTCCGAAAAGGATGTATCAGTCATTGTAATGTCAATCCCCCAAAAGATTTATCTAGAAATCACTGAATAGATGAATGGTCTATGTGGAATTGGAAATGAGAGATTACTGTTGGAAGCCATAAATTAGCTGTGTCTCCTTTTCTGGTAGCATGGCCGAAAGTTAGAGTCCATAAACATATCGTGAGTCATGACGCAGCTGGTCACCGGAGAAATAATTCATCATAGAGGGAAAAGGAGAAAGTATATGGGACAGTGATTGCATAACTGGCTGAACACTGCACCCAAAGAGTCATGGGTAATAAGTCAATTTCAATTGAGAGAGAGTTCACTAGTACCTAGGCCCAGTATTCAACCTCTTTGTGATGGCATCCTTATTTTCAAAATAGAGTGAACATCAGGACAAAATGAAACCGTACAGGAAAGTTCCTAGAAGAGGGTCTGGCCAAGAAGATTTAGTATTATTTTCACTGTAATTACTATTCATCACCCCCACTGGACTTAGGAGGTGGCTTGAACCATGGCAGTAAAGAAGGCATACTAACCAAATGGGCAAAGAGAGACAACCAGTATGTTAGATGTCACAAACATGATTTTAGACATTATGATAGGTGGGGCAGGGCATGGTGGCTCATGCCTGTAAACCCAGTGTTTGGGGAGGCTGAGGCAAGAGGATCACTTGAGGCCAGGAGTTCAAGACCAACCTGGCTAACTTTCTCTACAAAAAATAAAAAATTTTCAAATTATGATAGATGGAAATAATTGTTCAAAAAACTTGATAGGGATAAGTTAGAAGTCCTAAATTTAAAGAAATAATTGTTAAAGAACTAGCTAGGATGTCTACATATAGTATAATAGTGGTTTCCAGCATGGCAACTAGAGCCAGGCAAATCTAGGTTCAAATCCTAGGCCTGCCAGGATTTGACCAAGTTTATGACCTTGAGCAGTTACTTAGTGTCAATAAGCCAGGCGTTTCTTATCTATAAAATGGGGATAATATCTACATCCATCTCACAGAATTGTGATGAGACAAAAGTGGCCAAATACATGGAAAGCAGTTGGCATTGGGCTTAATACACAGTGAACGGTTGATAAATGTCTGCCATTATTTTGATGGTTCGCATAATTAGTCATGTGCAACATCTAGGACTTTAGGTGATGGTGTGATCCATATGTAAAAAGTTGAATGTGCACTTGGATCGTACTAAAAGTCAAGAGAGAAGAGTCAGGAGCAGTTCTCTAATCCCTGAAATCCCAAGAGGCTTCTGGAATTCTGTCCAAAGGGATAGTGACTGAGAAATGAACACAAGGTGGATGTGGAGAAGGAGGGGAAAGGGTATACGAGCCATGTCATGTGTGAAAGTTGAAAAATCTGGAGAGGTGTAACCTGGAAAGATAAAGTCCCCAAAAGATAAGCTTGAGGGAGTCCTTAAAATCTGAAAGACTGTTCTGTGGGAGAGGCGAGACACCCTTTTTGTTGTGCTTTAAAGAGTAGGATATGAGAAAGAGGAGTCATTCTGAATGGTTTTGGTTTTTTTTTGTTTTTGTTTGTTTCTTTGTTTGTTTGTTTTGAGTTGGAGTCTCACTCTGTCGCCCAGACTGGAGTGCAGTGGCTGCTCCCGGTCACCACAGCCTCGACCTGCTGGGCTCCGGCGATCCTTCCGCCTCAGCCTTCCAAGTAGCCAGAATTACAGGGATTTTGAGATCTGATAAGGACTATGGATATTTTCTTCTAAAAAACTGACATAAGCAAAATTTTACACTTTATGGGGATCATAGACTTCATAAAGTTGAAACTACAGGATAAGAATCTTTGGGCCAGATTAAAAATTACAGAAGAGCTTTCAGTGCTTAGAGACTGCATCTGTGGAATGAGAGGACTTTGGTTGTAATAACTTCTCTGTCTTTGAGGATGTCTAAGCAGATGGTAGTGTGAGTGGAGGCTCCTACATTAAGTCAAGGGTCGTCCAAGGTAACTTCTAAGGTTCCTTTCAACCCAAGATTCTGATTCCTCTTTTCCTTTTTCTAAATCTGCTCCGTCTTTAACTGGCTGCTTTGAGAATATACATTTACAAAAAATGTCCTGATTCTAAGAATAAATATGGACTTTGAAAGAAAAGTAACAGGACTCTTTTGAATGGTGATATAATGACAGATAGGTCAGAACAAATGTAAATGAAGAAACATTTAGATGCTCAAAAGCAACTAAAAAGAATTTCTAAAATGAGTAATTTGAAGTGATCGCAAACATATTTTGAGGTTATTTCTGGACTCTACTGATTATTCAGGACGCTGTGGCTCAGTCACATTTAATGGAGTCCTAACATCAAGATCCCTGGCAGAATCTTCTATTATTTCATCTTACAGAGGGGAAACCAAGGTACAGAGAGGTTAACTCTTCAAAGCCTTTGTAACCAAGCTTCCTGGTTCTAGAGCTCTTAACCCAAATGTGTTCTGGCTAGACCTTTTGTTGCATGATGTCTTAGTTTGAATTTGTAAGAAGTAGGCTTTTTAAGGGAACACTAAACCTGTCGGAATTGCTAGCACACATGGCGCATTTCTTATTGGTACTCATGTGACTTCTAGGTGCCGCGTGCCACGGGGACCTCACGGAGAAACTCAAACTTCTGTACAAGATGCACGTGTTGCCTGGTAAGGGAGCTCCATTGAGCAGCACATAGTCCTGTAACCATCACCTGGCTTGAAATCTACATTTTTTTAGTGTAGTCTCTTTGCCTCTTTTTGATAAACAAAATTGTTTGTTGGTCGCTAAGAATGAACCAAATAATGATCCAAGTTTCCAAATCTGCATGGGCTTGATTCTATGATTATTCCCCTGTGTGATGTTTGAGTTGTGGTGATAGAAATGAGCAGGCCTCTTCAAGAGAGAGAATAAACTGTATTTGGAGTGCAGGGAACATAAGAAAGTGAGAGAGAAAGTGAGTGTAGGAGACACTGAGAGCCTGCATCTAGAGGAAGCCATTTCTACACTGACAGGAACACGTGGGGGAAATGGTGGGGTTCTGAGTTCCATTTTTAAAAAGATTGGCCCCAGCTGGGCTATATCTAGAAAATAGTTTTAAAAATAAAGCAAGATTGGCACTATGGGTAGAGATAGGGCTAATATGAATTGGGGGACTATCTTCATAGCTGACAATTTCCTGAAGTTTGTTTCATAAGGTGTTGTGCCGTAGAATTTAGGCAATTTTTCATACAAAGGAATGCTTTGGTGTGGGGTTATTAGAAAAAAAGATGGAGTTAGAAATGATGTAACACCCCCCCCACACACACACACACACAAAGGTTTTAGAGACAGTAGGCATTTAAGGCCCCCTAGTGATAGACCCTCACACACATACACTGTTTTAGAGATAGTAGGCATTCAAGGCCCCCAGTGAGGGAACACCACCCCCCACATACACACACTGAGTTTTTAGAGATAATAGGCATTCAAGACTCCCCAGTGATAGGGCCCCACCCCCCCACACACACACAAACTCTGAGATTTTAGAGACAGTAGGCACTCAACGTCCCCCAATGATGGAACCCCATCCCACCTTTGTAACTTTAGCTTTTCCTCATCTCCAGTGTCATTTCCTTGACGCACACTTTCCTTGAGTCACAGCCCTACAGATGTGAGAATTATGTTTCCTCCTCTCCCTAGAGCCATCCTCTGATCCCGACGAGCCAGATTCTGCTTTTGAAGCAACTCAGTACTTCTTTGAAGACATCACCCCAGAATGTACACATGGTAAGTGGCTTTTCTCACCAAGGATGCTGCATTTATTTCTCACAGGCCCTCTGTTACTGGAGAAAAAAAAAACATGCCTCAGAGCTAGCCAGAGAAGGATGTGGCTGGGGCTGCCTCACATGTCACTTTCAGAGTTTGGCAATTAGGCAGCTGTTGGGGAAGCAGCAGGTACCTCAGCCCACTGAAGGGACCGTGTACATTGTCTCCCAGCGAATTAGATAAAGAGCCAGCTACACTGTCTCCACTCCCTGGTTCATGAAGAAAGTCATCCTGCTATTATGCGGCTGTCCAGAATTGGAGCTGACGCTTATGTCAGAAAGCATTCTCTTATGTCTGCCTTTTCTCTATAGCAGAGGTGGCCACACTATGGTCATGGACCAATCTGGCCCACTGCCTGTTTTTTACTTTTTTTTTTTGAAAGTAGGATTTATTGAGAGGACAGAAGAGCTCCCACAGTGGGAGGGGACCTGAGGGGATTGCCCTGTTGTTTTTTTACATTTTTAATGACTCTTCAAAATCAAAAGTAAAATAATATTTCTTGCCACATGAAAACAACATATTTAAACTTTAGTGCCCATAAATAAAGTTTCTTTAGAGCACAGTCAAGCTCGTTCGTGTGTGTGTGTGTGTGTGTGTGTGTGTGTGTGTGTGTGTGTGTACATAGAGACAGAGATGGGGGTGCCAAAAAAAGTATACACATTTTAAGAAAAAAAACTGTTAAAATTGTAATACTCAGTATATACCAATAGTAAAAGATGAATACAAGTCATGCTTGACTTCTGCAATTCCAAGAGGTGCTCAGAGTGGTTGCCATCAGCTTCTAGACACTTCTGATTCTGGCGAACTAAAAGTCATACATAGATAATATCTCTTCAAATGTGTGTATGTCTTTTTGGCACCCCCGGATAGCCAATGACTATTTTCATGCTGCAGTGGCAGAATCGAACAGTTAAGACAGAGTCTATCTGGCCAGCAAAGCCTAATGCACTCACTGTTAGGCCCTTTACAGAAGTTTGCTAATCCCTGCTCTGTGTGGGTGTTACATAGATGTGATGGAATGCAGATGTAACTCCAGATTTATATATGAAGTCATGTACTGTTTTGTCTATCTGGATCTCAGCAGTGTCTCTGGACTTGCTACTGCAGTAAGTTATTTACCCTTTAATTCATCATGCAAGCAAGTTTATCAGTTCACCTAAGTCCGAAAGTCAACTCCTGGGTTCTTTTACCTCCTAAATGTTGCCATCCCCAGCTAAACACAAGACTTGCTTTTAGACTGAGAGCACTAAAGCAAGTAGAAAGAGGGAAGCAGCCTGTCTTATGATTGACATACGAGTTGAGGGGAGGAGCTTTGCAGAGAGCGCCAGCTCTGTGTGTTGTTATCCAGGAGACTGCAAGCAGATTCCTGTGTCTCTGACCCTCAGTGTCCTTGTGTAGAGTACAGAGATGATAGCTGACCTATTGGGTGTAGTTAGGACCTGGTAAGATCATGTAGTAAGACTTTGGGGACAGTGCCTTAGCACATCCTGTGGTATTCTTAATATCATGAGTAATCGTATTCTGACTGCAAAACGTTAGCCACACATTTCTTAGTGGCTACTCATTTCAGAAAAAGAGCCTCTTAATGAAATGGTTCAGGAATGGCCACATGTCAATACCATTTAATATCACTGAAAGATACTTTATTCGTGTTGGTATTAGTGTTAGTATTTGAGTCTCACTCTGTCACCCAGACTGGAGAGCAGTTGCACACTCAGGGCCACTGCAGCCTTGACCTGCTGGGTTCAGGCTATCCTTCTACCTCAGCTTTCCAAGTAGATGGGGCTACAGGTGTGTACCACCCCGCCCAGCTAATTTTTTGATTTATTGTAGAGACGAGGTCTTGCTATGTTGCCTAGGCTGGTCACAAACTCCTGGGCTTGGGCAGTCTTCTTGCCTCCTCCCTCAGAGTACTGGAATTACAGGCGTGAACCAACGTGCCTGACCTGAAAGATGCTTTTTTAAAGAGAGTTTTTCTTTTTTTAGATTTTTTTTTTAAAGATGTGGGGTACAATTCAGAGTTAAGTGTACAAATGTTGATTGTGCAGGTACCCTTGTAAATGAGGTATGCCCCTCCCTCCCCTAGCAGTTTCCCTCAACTGCCAATCCCACCCCCCACTCCCCTGACAGTTTCCCACTACTGCCAATCGCTTTCTTATAGTATTATGATAATTGTTCAGGTCCACTTATGAGAGAACATATGGTACTCTGTTCTTTGTTTCTGTGATAAATCACTACATATGATAGACTCTAAATCCATCCAAGTTACTACAAAATCCATATGTTTGTCCTTCTTTATGGCTGCATAATATTCCATTGTGTATATGTACCACATTTTTTTTTAATCCAATCTGGCTTCGATGGGCAGCATGGTTGGTTCCATGTTTTTGCTATTGTGAATAGAGCTGCAACAAATATACATGTGCAGGTATCTTTTTTGTAGAATGACTTGAGTTCCTTTGGGTATATTCCCAATAGGGGAATCACTGGGTCATGTAGAAGGTCAATTTCTAGTTCTTTCAGAAATTGCCACATTGTCTTTCAAAGAGGTTGCACTAGTTTGCATTCCCACCAGCAGTGTAGAAGTGTTCCTTTTTCTCTGCATTCTTGCCAGCATCTGTTGTTGTTTGTTTTATTAATGATACTCATTCTTACTGGAGTGAGGTGGTATCTCAGTGTGGTTTTGATTTGCATTTCTCTGATGGTGAGTGAGGCTCAGCACTTTTTCATGTGTCTGTAGGCTGCCCGTGTATCTTCTTTTAAGAAATGTCTATTTGGCGCGTTTGAGTTCCTTGTAGATCCTAGGTGTTAGACTAAAGAGAGTTTTTCTAACTACAAAAGTACTATTGTTTTGTGCTGAAATTTTTAAAATATAGGTAACATATATGAAATAAGCTAAAACTGTTGTAAAATGTTACCATATATATGTAACTAATTATTCATCTTGAAATATTTCTTTTCAGTGTTTATTCATATAATGTATGAAATTAGGCACACACACATATATAAAACTGGGACTAAACTACCTCTGCAATGTTGTGCTCTGCTTCAGTAACAGTATTACTGTGTCATTAAAAATCCTTTGAAATCATGGCTTCTCAATGGCTATATAATATTCACTACATGGGTACCATATGATAAATATTTCTTAATATCTACATGTTTCTTCAATCATTTTTTATATTAGGAGGAAATTTCCCAATGATGTAGTTTTTCCCACTCTTAAATTAATCTGACATGTAATACAGTAAAGGGCACATCCCCAGCCAATCAGCCAGCTCTGGGGTGGTTGAAGAGTGCTGTAATTCACTCTACAGTTGGGTGCAGAATGAATCTCAGGGTGTCATTCCCCTCTCTTCTGATGTCCTCCCATTCCCTGTAATGTCCTGTTTTAAGAAGACAAAGAAAACAGGTATAAGGGGGTTTCTTAAAAGTCATGTTTTTGAAATTCCTGTAAATCTGAAGCAATGTTGTAGCATATAACATTTTAGAAAATGTACACATGCTTTTTCCTCCCTCTCTTCTACCAACGTAGATTTTAATTTATTTTTTTAAGTACTGAACACTATGTGACATCATTCTTTAAATGTTTAATTGTACCCTGAACCCCAGCTGTGAGAATAAGTTCCGGGGGAGTCTTTCACCTAAAGATCGGGTTGTCAGATGAAAGATGAGTCTTTCAGTAAAATTAGAATTTAAGGTTTTTTAAAAATGTGCTTAGTGTAAGTATGTCCCATGCAATATTAGGGATATACTTACGGCAAAAAAATTAGTTGTTGATCTGAAATTCAAATTTATGGATGCACGTATGGATGTTTTGTCATGTTTGTGAAGTCAGACAACCCTACCTAGAGAGTTTTCTATTTTCTTCTACAAATGCTAACTCTGTGGTACATTCTGTAACACTCTGCACTTTTCTTCCGAATATTTTTTGGTAGTTGTTGGATTGGACAGCAGAAGCAAGCACAGTGCAGATGATGGCTTTGTCACAGTGAGCCTAAAGCCAGATAAAGGTACAGATATTTTCTCTGTATTTGCTTGTTGAACTTGTGTTTCTGGAGTCTATGAACACTTTTTTTTTTTTTTTTTTTACATTTGGGTTGTAGGGAAAAGGTCAAATTCTCAAGAAAATCGTAATTATCTGAGACTCTGGACTGCTGAAAATAAATCCAAGTCAAAGAATGCCAAGGATTTGCCCAAATTGAATCAGGTAAGTTCTGAATAGTTCAGTTCGTTTATTTCAAATCTTGATGCTTTTTGTTCCTGACATAGATAAATGTAGAATAAGTGTCCTCAAAGGAAATGGTATCTTGAGGGCAGTTAATTAGTACCTGTTTGGATTTATTTTGTGTATGTTATATGTGCATCAAAAAACATGCTCAGTGGTGAGAAAATGACCTCCTCAGAGAAAATGTGAACCACAAAGTATTCAATTTTCAGAGGACATGCAACTTACTCCAGTCCTTTAATAAGGGTCTTATTAAAAAGACCCTTCGATACGCAAAAGACAAGTTTAGGCTGTTTTCAAATCAGTGTGCTCAGCTATAAAGATGTCTGACACATGTTTTGCTTTAAAAAGCTGAAGTATAATGAGGGAGAAAAAAACAACATAAATAATTACAACATAGGCTCAAAATACTGAGTTTCTTAACAGAGAAGTCACCAGGGCAGGGCTGAATGTATCACTTCTGTCCAGGGAGAGGAGGAAGTATGTCCTGGGAGAAGAGATTCGAGCTAACCTTAAGAAAATCACTCTGCACACTGAAGTGTGTAGAAGTACAAAGAGATGAGTCTCGGATTTCCTTAAGACGCTTCAACAAGAAAAAAGAGAATTAAACAAAAGTTAGGCCAGGCATGCTGGCTCACACCTGTAATCCCAGCACTTTGGGAGGTTGAGGTGGGAGGATCACTTGAGCCCAGGAGTTCGAGACTGTAGTGAGCCATGATTGTGCCATTGTATTCCAACCTGGGTGACAGAGTGAGTCCCTGTCTCTGGGAAAACAAAAAAAAAGAAAAAAGTTAATAAAATAGATGTATAACACAGTCATTCTTTTAAAAAAATTTGTTTTATTTTAAAGATGTGGGGTATAAGTCAGGATTATGTCATCGTACAGGTGAAGTTTGTTCCTCGTTGGTCCCCACTTTGCCTGGTTTGAGATCAGGTACCCTTACTGATTTTATGTGTCCTTCCTCTCTCCCCTGGCTGTGTCCTGCTACTGCCAATCCTTTTCTTATTGTATTGTGGAAAATGTTCAGGTTCCACTTATGAGTGAGAACATGTGGTACTCAGTTCTTTGTTTCTGTGATAGATCACTGAGTATGATAGACTCTAAATCCATCCAAGTAGCTGTGAAGTTCATAATTTTGTCCTTCATTGTGCCTGCATAATATTCCATCATGTATATGTAGCACATTTTTTTTTATCCAGTCCACTTTCAATGGGCAGCATGGTTGGCTCCATGTTTTTGCTATTGTGAATACTTCTGCAATAAACATGTGTAACACAGTCATTCTTGACCCTATTTGATGTGTACATGAAGGTTTCTTCTTTTGGGCCTACTTTCATGGATGTTTGAGATTTTTCAAATAAAAAAAATGGAAATATCGATAAAGAGACTTTTCACAGCGTGTCCCTCCATCCTATGTTTAGGTCATTCCAGGGAGCTTTAGAGGAGTCAGCATTTAAATGGCTTTTCAGGTGGGGCTCAGTGGCTCAGCCTGTCATCCCAGCACTTTGGGAGGCCAAGGCGAGTGGATTGCCTGAGCCTGCGGGTTCGAGACCTACCTGGGCAACTCTGCAAGACCTCATCTCTACAATAAATCAAAAATTAGCCGGACGTGGTAGCGCCCGCCTGTAGTTCCAGCTACTTGGAATGCTGAGGTGGAAGGATTGCCAGAGCCCAGCAGGTCGAGGCTGCCTTGGCCGGGAGTGTGCCACTGCACTCCAGTCTGGGCGACAGAGTGAGACTCCAATTCAAAAAATAATAATAATAATAAATGGCTTTTCAGTCCCCCCACAGTCCTGCGTGTCTGCTTCCCACAAGGTTTCACATGATTTGTGCTTTCAGGGGCAGTTCATCGAGCTGTGCAAGACGATGTACAACATGTTCAGCGAGGACCCCAATGAGCAGGACCTGTACCACGCCACCGCGGCGGTGACCAGCCTCCTGCTGGAGATCGGGGAGGTCGGCAAGCTTTTCGTCCCCCCACCTGCAAAAGAGGCCGGGAGCGGGGGCAGCGGGCCGTCCTGCCACCACCAGGGCATCCCCGGCGTGCTCTTCCCCAAGAAGGGGCCCAGCCAGCCTTACATGGTGGAGTCCGTGGAGCCGCTGCCAGCCAGCCTGGCAGCCGACAGCGAGGAGCACTCCCTCGAGGGACAGATGCAGGACATTAAGCTGGAGGACTCCTCGCCCCGGGACAACGGGGCCTGCTCCTCCATGCTGATCTCGGACGACGACACCAAGGACGACAGCTCCATGTCCTCGTACTCGGTGCTGAGTGCCGGCTCCCACGAGGAGGACAAGCTGCACTGTGAGGACATCGGAGAGGACACGGTCCTGGTGCGCAGCGGCCAGGGCACGGCGGCACTGCCCCGGACCACCAGCCTGGACCGGGACTGGGCCATCACCTTCGAGCAGTTTCTGGCCTCCCTCTTGACTGAGCCTGCCCTGGTGAAGTACTTTGACAAGCCCGTGTGCATGATGGCCAGGATTACCAGTGCAAAAAACATTCGGATGATGGGCAAGCCCCTCGCCTCCGTCAGTGACTATGAAATCTCGGCCATGTCGGGCTGACATGGTGCCTTCCTTGGGGTCGGGCGGGAGAGGGGCTTTTTTATGTTCTGTGTCCAGGGTTTCTTCCTTTCTTTTAAATTAAATATTTATTAGTCCCTGGCTCGAAGCCTAGTGTTTTCATAATGTAATACAATGGAAACTATTGGAGAAATATTTAAACACCTCAATGTAGGTACAGAACCTCTTGTTGGGGGGAGGGGGGCTTACCAGAATATGGTTTATTTAGTGACTTCTGAAGAAAAGATGAATCTGTCAGTAATACGTGTGTATTATAACTTATTAATCTTGCTGTCGAGCTGTATACATGGTTTAAAAAAATAGTGCTGTTTAATGCTAAGTAGGGCAGCAGTCGCTTGTGTATTCAGGCTTTTTAAATAAAATTAGAGCAGTAAGAAAAATGAAATGCCACAAATACAAGACTGTCCTTAAATGGAAAAAGCATTATCAGCAATCCTTTACCACTTTAAAAAGTATTAAAAGTGTTTTTAAGATTTGATATATATTGCATAAAATCTCCTATTTGGAAACCATGTTCAACAGATGTTCTCTTTCAAAGGGAAAAATTTGGAATGCTAAACAATTGCAAAAGTGTGATTTTTATATAATGCCAGAATAACGCTTGTATTTGATCAATTTGGACAGACAACAGACCAATTTTGCATTCAAAAGTTGTTCTGATTATTTTTGTCAGGTGATCAGAATTAGTGAAGAGTGACAGTTACAGAGAATCTTAAAGTGGCAGCAGAGACGGGGCTCAGGATAGGTTTGGTTTCATTTGAAGGAATAAACGTACTGATACTTCTGATGCTGAGTGTTCAGCTTCTTGTTACTGCAAGTGAAGCAAAAAATACAACAGTACACTTTACCATTTCCGTATTCTCCGTAGATTTGAGAAATTTATGCCATGTATCACATATGACCATCTTTCCATTAAATCAATGTAAAGTAGAGATCATGTAAACTGAAATCTGCAAGATAATGTAACTGAATGTTTTAAACTGGAACTTGTCACTTTATATAAAAGAATAGTGTGCTCTATCAATTTCCTGAATGGATGTAGAAGTGAAAACTAGCGCACCTGCACTTTGAATTCTTGCTTCCTTTTTTATTACTGTTGTGGTTTTGTTTTTTTACAGACATTGGAAGGTTTTTTCCTTCTTGTGGAATTCATAATCACGGTCACATTTCCTTCACTTACTCAGAATATTCCCTTCAACACATTCCTTTATTTTCTTACACATTGTGTCCTTATTTTAGCTGTTGCTGCTGTTAATTTTTTATTTTGTTTACAGAATGATTTTTTAACTGTCCAATGAAATAGTGTTAACCTCAGATAGAATAAATGTGAACCAATAAAATACATCAGATACTCAGATATGACTTTTCATCTTTGTGCTTGAGTTCCTGCTTAAGGCAATAAGACTGTTTCTTTGACAACTTTGCAGGGGAAATTGCATTGAGCAACCATTTTGACTAATAAATTAATTGAATAGGTAAATATATTTAGATAAATGCAATTTGCAGCATATCAATGATTATATTGGTTGTCTTCCAATGAGGAAGAGAATTGTGACCAGTTGTCTAATTTAAAACACAACCCTATATAAGTAATAATGGGTGAAAATTCCTCTTGTTTAATCCTTATTAGTACACTATAATACCATTTGGTATGTGTTTAATCAAGTAACTAGTCGTTTATTTGATTTGACTCTAGTAGTATTACATGTTATCCCATATGCTTCTGTCTTTTATGTCTTCAGTGTGCCTTGAGAAATAATTTGGTAAAACCTGATACTCTCACTCACCCCTACTTTGACAAAAATCAAAGATGGGAATAAGGGTGTGTTTAAATGTGCAGCCCTGAATAAACCAGAATTTCCCATTATTACTGAGAAAGAGACTATAAATGAATAACAAGTCACTCTGAAAGTCTGTGTCTCTATGAATGCTGAGAATCCTCTGTCATAATCCTGTCCTTGTCCGTCCAAGCACATCTTAGTGCTTTGGCCTGTGCTGTCTTCTAAAGTACATGCTAGGAAGAAGCCTGGGCCCTGGAGTTGGTATTTTCAGCTCACTCTGTGAGACAAATAGGTCTGTCAGCTCATTCGCCACATCAGAAGAACAACCCGAGAGAGACATTTCACCCTCGGCTTCCGGAAGATGTTTGGTACATTTCAAAGAGTATTTTCTGAAAAAGATGAAAATTCCTGTCTCCTTAGGTAAATATGTTTAGATAAGTACAATTTGTAGCATATCAACGAGTGTATCAATTCTCTTCCAAAGAGGAAGTAAAATAGCGGTCATGGTTGTATTACATGTTTCTAGTATCTCTGTGGATCATTCGTTTTGACTTCAACTTGTTATCTACTGTCTTCTCTGAATGGCCACTTGGGGCTCTGCTCTGTGAGTCTTCCTCATGCTAATAATTATCACACCAGTGCAGATGATGGGATCAGTGTCTACACCCAGTGAGCTTCCAGCTCCATAGCCCTGGGCCCCGGCCTCAGTGGAGTATCCACATATGAAAACTCAGATGAGCCAACAGACATGAAAAAGCGCTCAGCCTCACTCATCATCAAAGAAATGCAAATCAAAACCACACTAAGTTACCACCTCACCCCAGTAAGAATGACCATCATTAATGAAACAAATAACAATAGATGCTGGTGAGGATGTGGAGAAAAAAGGAACATTTCTACACTGCTGGTGGGAATGCAAACTAGTGCAACCTCTTTGGAAGACAGTGTTGCGATTTCTGAAAGAACTGGAGATTGATCTTTCATATGACCTAGCAATCCCCCTACTGGGAATATACCCAGAGGAACTCAAATCATTCTACAAAAAAGATACCAGCACATGCATGTTTGTTGCAACTCTAGTCACAATAGCAAAAACATGAAACCAACCATGCTGTCCATCGAAGCTGGACTGGATAAGAAAATGTGATACAATGGAATATTATGCAGCCATAAAGAAGGACAAACATATGGACTTCGCAGCAACTTGGATGGATTTAGAGTCGATCATACTCAGTGATCTATCACAGAAACAAGAACAGAGTACCATATGTTCTCACTCATAAGTGTACCCTGAACAATTATCATAATACTACAAGAAAGGGATTGGCAGTAGTGGGAAACTGCCAGGGAGGGAGGGGCACACCTCAACAACAAGGGTACCTGCATAATGAACATTTGTACACCTAACCCTGAATTGTACTCCACATCTCTAAAATTTTTAAAAATTTAAATTACATTAAATTAAAAAACAAAGGAGGGTTTGACACCAGAGTTTGACATCCATTATAAATGAAGGCTACTAGCTGGGGCTCCCATTACAGAGGAAGCACAGTCACTGAGGTACGTATCACAGAGTGGGGCCATTTGCAGTGGCAGCAATCACAGAGGAGGGCTGGTCACTGGGAACCCCATCACAGAGCAGGGCTAGTCACGTGGGCATCCATCACAGATGAGACACAGTCACTGAGGCTCTTATCACAAAAAAAGAAAAAAAAAGAAAACTCAGATGAGAAAGCCACTGATAGAAAAAAGGAACAAAGCAACCCACCCAGAGCCTGGATGTGGGGAGTGGGCGTGTTGGGACAGGGTGATGCCAGAGAAGACACAGGTCTGAGGACATCACTGTTCCCGCATCTCTTCAAGGCTGACTGTGGGCGGACAGGGATAGCTATGGAGCAGTACCATGGAGAGAGCCTCGGGCAGTGGCTGGTGTCTAGGCAGCGTTCTCACACCCACCGAGGTGACATGGACCAGGCGCCCTGGAGTGCAGGCACAGGGCAACCTCCATAACCTGCTCTCCTCAGAACAAACTGCTGTGGGGACTAGCTTTTCTCCTCACTTTCCTGGCTCCAGAAATTCTGTAGGGACCTCCCAATCTCAGTATGGTAGTCTTGGTCTGGTCTCCAGCTGAGGCTTTGTCTAGGGGGCCTGAATTTAGAGTAACTGTACTTCCTTCTTTTTCTTTTTTTGTTTGAGACAAGGTGCCATTCTGTAGCCCAGGCTGGAGTGCAGTTGGCATGATCTCTGCTCACTGCAGCTTCAATCTCCTGAACTGAAGTGAACCTCATGTTAGTCTCCAGAGTACCTGGGATTACAGGCACTTGCCACCATGTCCAGCTAATTTCTTCTTCTTCTTCTTCTTCTTCTTCTCCTTCTCCTCCTTCTCCTCCTCCTCCTCCTCCTCCTCCTTTAGAAATGAGATCTCATTACATTGCCCAGGTGGCACATGCTTGTAGTTCCAGCTACTTGGAAAGCTGAGGTGGAAGGGTCACCTGAGCCAAGCAGGTTGAGGCTACAGTGGCCATGAGCGTGCCACTGTACTCCAGTCTGGGCAACAGAGTAAGACTCCAACTCAAAAAAAAAAAATTTCAGGAGTGACATTGGCAGCTGGCTTGCTTCTCCTACCTCAAATGTAGGGCTTCTCTGACTGTGCATTCTTTATTACCCAACCTGTAAGAAGGCTCTTCTATGGCAGCATCAACTTTCATCCTGAAAAAAATAGCAGCCGATGTGCTGAATACAAAGCATTTCACACTATTTTCTGCTTTGTTTTTGTTTTTTGAGTTGGGGTCTCACTCTGTCACCCAGGTTGGAGTGCAGTGGCATGATCATGGGTCACTGCAGCCAGCCTCGACCTCCTAGCCTTAAGTGATCCTACTGCCTCAGCCTCCCAAGTTACTGGGACTATAAGTATGTGCTGCCATGTCTGGCTAATTTTTTTTTTTTTTTTTTTTTGGGTAGAGATGAGGTCTTGCTATATTGCCTAGGCTGGTTTAGAACTCCTGGACTCAAACAATTATCCCTCCTAGACATCCCAAAGTGCTGGGATTATAGGTGTGAGCCACCACACCCAGCTATTTCCGCTTTAAAATGGCTTCTTTACATAATGTTTAGGGTCCCGGGTCTTTTGTTTAACATACTCTTGACAGTCTAACCATTTAAAAGGAAAGTCTAATTATTTAAAAGGAAAACCCAGGAGCCAGAAAAAGGAATGTGTTGTTAGGTACCGAGTGAATATAGAAGGCTAGGATTAAGATTCTCTTCCTGTGGGCTTTGTTAATCAGCTTCCAGGGAAACGAGTCTGTATAACAGCTCAGAGTAAACGGTGGAGATGATTAGGGCTTCCTGGATTCATAATTATGAGGTCTGATAATAATAATGAACTCACCCTAAAAAAAGTGCCACATACCTCATTGCTACTGTCACCCACCATCACCCTTGATGTACTCTCCGTGGGATGCTATGCACCAACGCTGGTGCTTAGTTCACCCATCAAAGCAATTTTGGAACTCTTTTTCTGGATTGGTCATCAGAGCAGTCATTGTATCACACTTGATTTCCTGAATGTCATCAAATGTCTTCCTTTCAATGTTTCCTTTATCTTTGGATAAAGGAAGAAGGCATTGGGGACCAGATCAGGTGAGTAGGGAGGGTAGTCCAGTTTTCCCCGGTCCCCTGCTGCTGCTGTCTGCCATCAGCAGTGGCCACTCTGTAAACCCTAAATTATGAACCATTATAAACGTCTGCTGTCTATGCACATCTGGGCTTCTGAGTGTTAGATGTTGCTGAAGGAGGAAACCTTCACATTATAGAGATTTGTGCAACTCTGATGTTATAATGTTTATCTCCATCTGGGTCCTAAATACCAATTAACAATCATGATTGTTCTGTGTCCCTGATTCAATCTTCCTAATCCCCCAAATAGCTCTGCTAATTCATTACCAATCTCATCAAACCCCCAGTCCTACTTCAGCTTCCCCTTAGATGGAAATTTGATTCTGACTTCATAGAAATAATCAGAGTTGCAATGCTCCACTTTGAGCCCCTCAATTGCACATGTATCTGCACCTGCAATGTCCTTTCCTTTTTCTTCCATTCTGGAGGAGAATTCGGCATCCTTTAACTTCTTTTTTTTTTTTTTTTTTGAATTAGAGTCTCACTCCATTGCCCAGGCTGGAGTGCAGTGGCACGCTCGCGGTGATCCTCATGCTGGGCTCAGGTGATTCTTCCACCTCAGCCTTCCAAGCAGATGGAACTACAGGCATGTGCCACTACACCTGGCTAATTTTCTGATTTATTGTAGAGATAAGGTCTTGCCAAGTTGCCTGAGCTGATCTCAAACCGTGGGCTCAGACAATCCTCTCACCTCGGCCTCCTAAAGTGCGTGAGCCACTGTGCCCAGCCTCCTTTAACCTCTTTTATCATCAGCATCTTTCTCCTTGCCTTCAGATTGTAAGAATATTTATTCAATCCCTTGAGTCTGTTACATATCAGCTATTGGCTTATTTAACTGCATCGCAGCCAAACACCTATGAAAGGAGACTCTGATCTTGCTCCCTCCATTCTAAACATCCAG